TGGTTGGGCCACTGTCATGCACAACAAAAGGTTGTGGGTTTGATCCCCACTTAGGGCACATATGGGAAGCAGCCTATCGATATCTCTTCCCCCTACCCTGCCATTTCCTTCCTCTCTCTTTAAAATCAATAAACATATCCTCATGCGAGGATTAAAAATAAGATAAAATAAACCATGGGTTCCTTTGGTCAAAAATGATTGAGTTTCAAAATGGCAACTATAGAGCATTGACCCAAATGCAGGCCCTTCTGAGTACAGGGTCCTGTGTGACTGCATGGGTCGCACACCCATGACGTTGGCCCTGTCAACAGGTGCCCGCCATCCTGGGGAGGCCACAGTTCTTGCTGTCCAGTTTTTAGGTCTTCTCCCATGTTCCGTCATCTGAAATGCCCTTCCACCAACACCCAGTTTCTGCCCACATTATGCCTTAGCCTTTTCCCAGGCCTATCCATGTAGAGGCAACAAGTTGAGAACTGGTCTTTACATATCTCTGATCTCTCCTCTCCTAGAGCCTCTAGTAATCCTGACCATCTACACACATTAATTTAGCCCTTAATTAATACTTCCCTATGTTATTTTATTACTGTTTCATTCATTCATTCATTCACCATCTATTGTGGGCCAACTATTTGTCATGACTGTGCTAGGTACTGGGTATAAAAAGTCCCAACACAGCAGAGACCTTGTTTGATTTGTTCATCCCTCTATCTCCAGAGCCTCACATGGTGACTGGCTCTTGGCAGACACAATATTTGTTGAGTAAGTGTTGAATAGTCTTTTCTATCTATCATATGTTGAGCTTCTAGAGACTGAGAACTGTTTTTATATATTCTGTTGACTGAGAACACACTGTGTCACACATGGTTCCAGGAATGAAAACATTGTTCTAGACAACTTCCTTTACTTCTGTGTTCCTTAGCACATTATCTCTATTATAATTTGCCCAAGAATTCTATGAAATAGGTCCTATTATTATCCCCATTTTATAGGTAAGGAAACAAAGTCTCAAAAAGTTGGAATAATTGGCTGAAAGTCAGTTACTGGGGTTTCAACCCAGGTGACCAGAATCTAGCCTGATCTTTTGACTGCACTGCTAGGCTGCCTCCAATCAGTGCTTTTGACTGAGTTGAACTAGAGAGATCAAGAAAGAGCAGTGCTGGTGGCTCAAAACAAATCCATAAATATACATCAGATACAGGTTGTGCCTTGTAAAAGGAACCTATTGTTATACAGTTTCTTGACCAATACCAGATATAATAGGTGCATGGCTCTATGATACCACAGAACATACACTATGGTATCATTTATTTCACTGAAATTGTCCAACAATAAAATGCTAAATAAAAGATACAGCCCACTTGGCCACCTTTCGAGGCCTGCAGGAAGAGAACAGACATGAAAGTTTCTAAATGTTGGTCACTTTACCAGACAGGAGGTAAGCAATAAACTTTTTAGGCTGGAGGTTCATTTGCAGGACTCAATAATCTCCCTTGACATCAACAAGTTTGCCAAGGGATGAGCAGGGGAAAAGGAAAAGAGTTGAAATTAAAAAAAAACACACAAAAAAAAACCCCAACAAAAAACAATATTAGGGAGGAAAATGGGAAGGGGTGAATCTAATGTGATGAGGAGTGGTGGGGGCCACCAAGAGCTGCCATGGCTGCTGGGCTTCTGCTGTGGAAGGGTTTTTAGTCCTGTTGGGGCTCCGTGAAATGGCGACAGCAAGTCACCATTCGTCGTACTTTGATTTGGGTTCCACATCAAGTAAATGGACCAGCACATAGCTCCCTGTCTTTAGAAGAAAGCACAAGATCCAGGTTGATGCTATTTGCTGGGTGTGGTAAAGGGGGATTTATGCCACTCTAGTGATGCGTGATAAGATGCAGGGGGTGAAAGCAGCTATTAACACTGATTAACTCAAAAGCTGACCACCAGCACACACACCTATTGTTTCCACCGGCAATCTTTAGTCGTGGGCTTTGTCTGGCTGGCTTCACAAGAGACAAACGCTGTTACTGGAGACCAAATAACCTTATTTAGGCAGTGGTCAGATAATAGAGACGCTCCAGGTATTAGCCTGACTTCATTAGTTTGATTTGTACTACTGTTCACCTTGTCCTGGGCATTCATGGAGACAAAGGCTTAGAATTACAAGAGCAGAGATAAGCTGTGGATTAGAGCCTGTGTGTTCTGAGAGAAAGATAATTCTATCTTGCATTTTCATTTCTATTTTCATCACATTTGATTTTTCCTCAAAGTTAAAGTCCATTTTTTTCTCCTGAATATCCACATATCCTTTCCAAATTACTAACAATCATAACTGGTAAAAAAAGTTACTGACTCATTATTTCTTTTAACAAAATCAGTGTTTATCTTTTAGGTTTTTGGAAATGATTTTAGGGGAAATACATTGATTGTGTATATTACCTTGCTTCTTAAATATTCTTACCTTTTATAGACTCAATTTACAATATTTAATGGCAGTGTTATTAGTCTGAAAATATAAAAGGATGTGTAATTACACTGAGTTACTTCTTTAATATTATAAATTCTAGTATTTAAATTCTTCTGATTTCTGTTTAGTTACAAAGGCATCATTTTTATTATGATTCCAGTTATGAATATATAACCAGAAATAAATGCAACTTATTTCAATGATAGACAAAATTGAATTTTAGAACCATACAAATCAGTTATATTAAATTGCACTGGAAAAAACTGAGATGATATTCTAGAAATAGTATGTTTCTTCCCTCACCAGATATTTTATAGGTGTGACCAGTTTTTATAATTAAAAAAAATTTAAGTGCATTACGAGTCATCGATGAATATATGTGATACTGTTTCATTTTTTTCTAATGTCTATAATTTTATACAGAATCCTCACGCTCCTCAGAGCTTTGGGAGTTAGGTTTAAGATAAATTCTACATAAACGATGATTACTCTTTGAAAATTTCCATTTATGCAAAGTACTATTTCAAAAGTACTTATACATTAATACTGTGGAATAGTTTGTTATGTACAGGACTTGAAATCTTATCCTAAACTAAGCAAACAATAAGACAGACAGAGCTATATGTCTGACATGGCAAGATGTCAGAAAGAGGCACTGAATACTAAGTATGATAACATTTTAAAAAATAACAGAAAAAACAAATTTATATGCATGTATCTATGTATACACATATACACAAGTACACATATGTACATGTTTTTTTACACAAAAAGATCTATACAATGTTTAATGATGGTTACCTGTGAAGGATGAGATTTGAGGAAGACTTCACTCTATTTTTATTACTTGAATTTTTCACAGTATGTAAATATGGCCTTTGGGATTGAAGTAAAAGGCTATTTTAAAAAGCTTGCATATCATGTGACACTTTCCCCTCCAATCCACTCCTGGTGACTTGTGGTCCTCCAGCTTGATATAGTTTCACAAGAACCTAATAAAGAGCAAAGGAAGTTCTTGGTGCTTCAAATTTTATGTTAATGAAAGTAGCTCTTTATATTGGAAGAGTGGCCCAGTCTGACAGTAGGGTCTTGGAAAACGTTTAATGCCTCTGGTCGGTCTTCCCCTCACTGCCTTTGGGGCCCTTCTTTCCTCCTCCGCCCTCTCCATCTCACCAGCAGTGGGACAGCGTGTTGCTGACCAGTTTTTGGGACACAGAGCTCTCTGCCACCACATGTGCTCTCTCAGTAAATGTTTTTTAAAAAGTTTCAAAATCTGTATCATGCTACTTTTCCCCAGCAATAATATGCAAACTCCCTCTAAGCTTTGTCATGCAATAGGAAAAAAAAAGAAAGAAAAAAATCAGTAAGAACCTTCTACTCTGGTTAGCTCTGGAAGAGAAAAGGACAGAAGAATAGGAAATAAAGAAAAAGGAAGCAAGGAAGAATTCAATTCAAATAGGCAAAGTTGAAATAGGCTTTCAGGAGACAAAGTCAGAGCCCTCAAGCTAACACTTCAAAAAGAACACCCACTTTGGCCTTCCATTAATTAACTGGAAAGCAAATACCCAGATTTCCAGTGGTAGGACTTCTTTCTTGTGATGCTACTTAATCCTATTTGTGTCTTTAATTGACAGGTACAATGGCAAATGCAAAGAAAATACAGTTTTTATCCCAGAAAGTGCCCTGATTATATTTAGCAATTATGTCAGAGCACATACATAAGGCAGATTATCCTACCTTCTCAGTCAACATACTACTTGTAACAAAATATGTAGCTGATTGGAAGTCACCACACCAGAAATAGATATAAGCCAGATGATCATTACCACTTTAATGAGTGAAATTAAAGTACAGCATTAAATGACCTAGAAAAATATTTTAAATTTGCATTATTTGTGGCTCAATTCTTTTGTGCAATGCAGTACCAGTGGTATGAATATGACAACTGATGGTTTTATATTTCCACTTTGGTATAATCACTTTGCTTTAAAAAAAAAAAAAAGCTGAAACTGGCATTCTAAGGATTTTTACTGATATATGGTGAAAAATTCTCACTGCTTTATGCCAGAAATCAAGAGGAACTAGAGATTTATGAATAAATAATATTCTATAATAAAGCATAATCATGTTTCAAAATGCATTTGAAGGAAACTAATTGAAACAAATCACACCTTTGTGCCTCTCTTCAGATTACTTTACTTGAATTACTTCGTAAATGTCATGCAGTTTATGGAGCCACTTAGTCATGAACTTAGTCCGATTTTAGCAAACTAATTTATTAGATTTAATTTGCTCACTTAAAAAATAGCTGGCTTTTTCTTAAAATGTTTATTAAAATATATAGAAAAGAACTTTATTGTATTTAAAAGTGTCCAGGTATAATATGTACCACGATATAATAGTAATTATTTACATTATATTTTCAGAAAAATGACAACATTCAGGTTAAATGCAGAAAAGAAAGCATCACATTTTTAACACTTGATATTTCCATTGATTCTTCATGTTCTGCAACTGGAAGATAATTTCACGTTTAGTTTTCTAGCTATTCCAAGAGATTTGTGTTGAAATTTTTTTTCGCCATTAGAAACTGTGATTCTCTGTGGGACCTCCTCAGTTTTGCACGTCGATTTTGGAACCAGATCTGAAATTAATGTGAAATAAAAGAGATCTCAGAAGCATTACTTCATTATTCTTAACATTTCAATCATTAGGAATAATGACTAAATTTGAAAATTACCTGGATTCTGTCTTCCTCTAGATTCAATTTTTGAGCTAAGTCTTCTCTGATATCAATGCCAGGATAGCAGTTTACTCTAAAGACATTTTCCAACACTTCAATCTAAGAATAAGGAAATAGGTATTTAAAAATGTTGATTTTTTTTGTATGTCATAATAAAATAGACCTGTACTATCCAGAAACTGTTAAAAATGATACATTCTATTGTTTCATTAATTAGGCCTAAATTGAAATCCCAAGTGAATGGGCTTTTGCTCAACAGGGTGTCAGTTAAAGCCTTTGAATTATCATTATTAGTTGAAAAAACCTCCCACCTGGTTTTGAGAAAAAGCAGTTCTTGGTCTTCTGCCTCTATACCAACTCAACTCTCTTTTCAAAGACAGTCTTTCCGAGGCTGAAAAGTAATTTTCATATTTCAAAACTCTTTCTTCTGGCACTGGATAATCCATGGTAAAAGGGAATAAGGTCCCATTAGGAAGGCTTGGGACATGTAGACACAGGTTAGTATCTTTCTCTAAAAACAGAAAAATAAACCCCATCTTAGATGTCCACTCCTATATTTCACAAAGTTCTGTAAGAATTTCAGGAACTTGTTTGTAATTTTCCTAGTGGCATTCTTCTGTATTTCATGAGAGAACTGACCTCTCATCAACCAAAAACTGAAAAGCAAACAAAAATGAAGATCCTGCTTTGGTGACAGAGGACATTTTGGCCTCTGAATGTCATTTATTTTTTCAGTGAGAGAAGACAATATCTGATGTGTCAAATAAACACAGAGATCTTCTGAGTAAATGCATTTCCTGTGAGTTCATACCATACCTTGAATTCAAGGCTGATATTCTTTTTCTTTCCCATAGGAATCAGCTGGAGGCATTAATAGTCCTGGTTACCTCAGTTATGTAACTGGATGAAACTGCAGTTTCTTTCTAACTCTTAAGTAGAACATAAAATTAAAGGCCAAATTAAACAGTGCAAAAGAAATAAAGAGTTTAAAAAATTAAGCATACCTGAGGAGCTGCAGGTGTCTGCCCAGGGCCTGTGGGGTTTCATGGATGGAATACAGTCTTTCTTCTGATCCAATCCTAAAATGCTTTCGATTGAAAAGGAGCAGGGCAAGGGTTTGCTTTCCCCAAGCTGAGCACCTTCCTGAAGGCTGGGAGACATCCTCAGGTGGGCTGCACAGGTCGACAGCTCTGGCCTCGGTGTACCTCCGGGCTGGCTCTGCACGCACAGGAACAGGACTGGGATCTTCCTGCCGTTCACCTTAGGGATCTGCTCACAAGGGGGCTGGATTTACAACGTCACTAATTAAAAATCCCGTCTTAGAAAGTTTTAGCATGTCAATGAACACCCAGCCAGCAGCTTTAGGAGTTAATTGTTTATTTGTTTGCAAGTAATTAGCAACTAATGGCTACACCAGGGGGGCCACCTACAGGGACAGAAGTGTTATCTCTCCTAAGCAGAGCACAGACTTAACTTTCTCGAAACAAGTGATGCACAAACTAGCACTTCTTTTTTATTTGAAATCATTAATGTATAAAATCATGCTTTTTATTCTGAAGTTTATACTTTCACGGATACCAGTTACCTAAACATACAGGCAAGATAGGAAAGCAGTCAAGTAATAAATAATCTAATTTAAGTGAATTTTCTTCCAAGGAAATTGGAAAAAGTAATAATCTCTTAATGCTATTACGGTAATTCTGATGAAAATGCCTGTTTTTCATATGCATATATAATAGTAAATGTTGTAAATGAAAACAATAGTATTTGGAGTGCAGCATACTGGAAAAGGTTGGCAATGTTATTAACACTGAGTGTAATTGTTCCAAGTACTTGGATTAATGCATAAGGAACAGTTGCACCAAGTATTTTAAATAATTAATAAGATAATTCCCTTCTTTCATTTTTTGTTTTAAATGAGAGATACAAGTTTATATAGAGATTCATACTGAACCATCTCCAAGCAATTTAAAAGCATGAGTTCAACATAAAGAGAAGAATTTCTCTCACCACAGTTATTTCAAAGAAAAGAATATAGTGTAGTGCTATTTTCTAAAGAAAGATTCTCCTCTGAGGTACTGGGGGTTTCCACAAAGGTAATAGGTTTATAAAAAAAATAACCAAGAACAGAATGTTTTAATTTTGTAATCCTAAGAAAACTTGAAATTAAAAGAGAAATACAGCTGTTAATTGCAAAGATTTTGAAGTGGCCACTCCCAGGAAAAGGTATACTTTCAGTCCTTATATTCTGCTGCAACGCTTCTTCCAGTACAATCCTGATGAGAAATTTAAGTGATGAGATTTATCATGCTTTTAAATAGCTACTGGACTTTTCTTCAGGAAAAGTAGTCTCTGCTCATATAGGAAATAGCCTTTAAGGATGGAGGTCAACTTCATCAAATTTTGTCCTATCATGGTGTCATAAATATTAAGCTAAATTCTTATGCAAGCTCTAGAATGAACAAAAGATTCACACACAAAACCTCAACAAGCACACACAGGATGGGTGTATAGATATACAAGTAAAGCCATGCTGAGAATGAATAAACTAGTAAACACTTATACCTCATGGAAGTTTCTGTGCAAAGATGGGGGCAACCTTAATTTGGGAAGACTTGGAGGAAGAGAGAATTCATGCCCTTCCCAGATCCCTTTCTCTCTTTTGAAACATTTATTCATTCATCCATCCATTTATTCCAAAATTGGTTGAACACCTATTCCATATTAGAATAAATAGAATAGGATCCTTGCCCTCATGAAGCTCACCATGGTGCTGGGTGGGGTGGGTGTGGAAAGACAGGCAACAAACAATAGTAAATAAATAAGTATTTCCTACATTAATCAGCTAGAAAAATGAAAAAGGGAAACAGGTGAGTCAGGTAAGCTGGATCATCAATGCTCAAGGTGGGAGGAGGTCTCACTGAGAACCTAACCCGCACCGAGTAGTGCCTCAGAGGTGCAAGTAGAAAGGATGCTGTAGCACATGATGTAGCAACTTCAGTCCTCAATTTCTTCTTTATCGACAGGAACATTCCAATATTTTTATTCCTCTTGAGTTGATTTTATCTGGATTTAATGGAAAGAAAAGGTAGGAAAGAATTTCTCTAAAGACTGGGATAAATGTCTTCTCATATATTCACTCAACAGATTTTTATAGAGTACTTAATATGTGCCAGACACCATTCCAGGTAGCTGAAAAAACAGAGACTGAGAGTTCAGTCATAATTTGCAGAAGTCACCAACTAGCAAATGGCAGAGACTTCAATTTTCTGTTTGCAAATTCCCTGTTCTATTGGCTTTATCAAGTAATGGCCACCGTAACATCTTCATTAATGATTTCAAGTGTACTGATCACTTAAGAAAAAGGCTGTGAAACCTGGCAAATGATATATCCTTAATATCTTTTAACAGTTATTTTGATATGAGAAATTCTGACAATTGACATTGAAGAGATTCCAGGAATCATAAAATTGGATAGTCTATATTATAATCATCTGCATGTAGAAACCTGTAAATCCACCCAGGGTTGTTTGTTTGTTTGTAATCCTCACCCAAGGACATGCTTATTGATTTTTAGAGAGAGAAAGGGAGAGAAAATATCAATGTGAGAGAGAAACATCAATCGGTTTGCCTACTGGAGACCAAGGCTGCAACCTAGGTGTGTGCCCTGACTGGGAACAGAACCTGCGACCTTTGGGTTTACAGGACAATGCTCCAACCAACTGTGCCACATAGGCCAGGGTCACCCAGGTTTTGATCATTTATTTTCTAATTGTGTATTACTATTAAGTCTCAAATCATTAACATCAGGAAAAATGCCCAATGTCTTAGGTGTTTTGGCAGAGATTTTTATAAATCAGCCATATAATTATTATGCTTACAGTCTGTGAGCATAATAACACAGAAATGCAATGGGTAAAGCTCTAATGACACTTGTACCTAACTTTTCCATAGGAATTACCCTGTCCTATTTGAGACCGTCAGTATTTTTAAATGTTAAAACATGTTTTCTAAAATAAAAGTTTATTTCTTACTACAATACATTGTCTCCTAGAACAGTGCCAAACTAGACATTCAATAAATATTTGTTGAATGAGCAAAGAAACGTATGGATGGATGGATGGATGGATGGGGCTAGGAAGAGGACTTCTGTAAATTGGACAGGCATCATAAATGCTGTGGGTTTATTATTGTTGCCATTGTTTTAAAAAAGTTAGAAAAAATTTTCAGTTAAGTTTACATTCAGTTAAATTACATAATATTATTTTGTTTTAGTTTCAGGTGTACAGCATACTAGACAGTCATATACTTTGCAAAGTGTTCTCTTTGATACTTCCATACCCTCCTAGCACCATACATAGTTATTACAATATTATTGACTATACTCCCAATGCTGTACTTTACATCCCTGTGACTATTTTATAACTAACAATTTTTAATTCTAAATCCCTTCACCTTTTTCATGCAGCCCCCAGGCCCTTTCCCATCTGGCTTTTAGTGTGTAAAGTACTCGTAGTTTTTTATAAAACACTTATATATCACTCCAGGGTAATCCACAAATTAGAAGACATTATGGCATTCTGTACTAAAATTTACTAAAAAGTGAGATGGAGGGTTCAATTTAAAAATCTGAGTTTAAAATTTAAAAATCCTGAGTCATGTTGAACAATTTATCTGTAGTACTCTGTGTTTCCATTGTTGTTACTTGAGACACAAGGTATCTTTCCCAGTGTTTACAAGGTTTGGGAGAGTTCAGACTTGTTTCATACACCCTTCTCTCTCTCCCAGCATCCATCACAGTGCCTGTCACACAGGAGATAGTAAATAAAGGTTTGTTGAATAAGTTTACTTTATAAATTTAAAAAAACTTGTCCAGCCTTTGTTCTTAAATTTTAAGAGCAGTTTCATATTTTTACATTTTCAAATTAGTTAAAATTGTTTTCAGTAAAACGTAGTGCTTTGCACATGGTAGGCCCTTGATTTTAAAAATTGATATAAAATCACTTGAAACACAAATGCATTATTTTAAATAGAGTCATTCAATACCATAAAAATAGAGTAAAATATGATGGTCTCCTTCGATTCTACCACATTTTTACTCCCCAATTCATTGGTTACCACTACTAACAGTATAGTGCCTTTCCTTCCTGTCTTTTCTAAAGGCCTTCACATAAACACACAGATGCACACAGACACATTTTTATCCACATGGAGTCAGACACGTATTGTTCTGCCATGTGGTTCACTGCCTCCCTCCCCCACCTCCATCCTATATACTATGTCAGTACATGTAGCTCTATATTTTTCAACAGTTGCTTGGCGCTAGACATCAAGTGAATTAACCATAGTTTACTGAACAAAAGCCCTGAAAATGGATACTTAGAGTTGTTGCCAATTTTTTTTTATAACACATTATGGCAACAAACACCTTGCACATACATGTTAGCACATATGCAGCATTTCCACGGAAACTTTTCTTTGGAAGTATACCATTTTTTGGTGCCTGCTGCCATATTTCCTTCTGAGAAATCTTTATAATGAACACGTCCACCCAAAATAGTCCTTGTCTTTATGTCCTTCCCAGACTGACAGTGAGACAGGACAACGCAGGGCTAGGCTAAATTAGGCTCAGGTTCTCTCCACATTCAATATTCAAAGATAAAACAGTTCAGAGGGAGGGATGGGGAGGGCCACGGGGACATCTGCAATAGCTCAACAGGAACAATACAGAAAAAAAAGATAGGCTCTGAGGGTCTCAGGCCTATACTTCAGTGCCATTCAATCTAATTGTTATAGATTAAAGGGAGAACGTAATTGATATTTATAACATTGTTTCTAGGGAATAAATATTATGTATCTTACCAATTTAAGAACAAACTTTTCAATCATAACAAAGATTTATTGAACTCCAGCATATATCGGGGTGTACTAGGTACCCAGAAAATGAAATGATTTCTGCCCTCAAGAAACTTACAATCATGGAGATAGTAATTAATATTAATTTTGTTAGGTGTGATTATGATTATGTTAAAAAATGCTCATAAACTACCAACTTTACTATAGTGTTCATCTGCCATAATTTGATACCTCATATCACTAATTAATTCAGCTTCCTCAACATTTGTTTCAAATCACAACTTCTCTTAAAGGTGTTTTTATCCAAAACTGGTAAAGTCAAAGTCCTCACAAGAGGCCACAAGGTTTTACACAATCTGGTCTCCTCTTCTTTTCCCTCCTGCCACCTGGTCTCTGCAATTCATGAAACAGGCCAGGCTTAAGAGGCCTTAAGGCTCAGGGCCTCTGCCCTTGTGCTTCCCCTACCTGGAATGCTTTCTCCCCAG